GTCCTCCCACCGTCTACATCTTCCTATATTACTAGGTCGTTTTTCATTATGAAAATATGAAAACATCGCTTTTTTGATTAAGGATGGTGAACCATCAGGATTAACAGCCCGATTTACGTGTCCAAACCATCTCAATCTATTTCGGCGTATGATATTTCCAATCGGTGGTTGTCCTGTAATATCTAATAGTGTTTCATTAGCCATTCTATCAGCTAAGTTTACTCCTATGATTGTCCGTAAACATTTATTATAGAAGGTAGTAATTCGTTGTTCTTGTCTTATAGTAAGAGACCACGTTTCACTACCGTAGACTAAAACTGGTAGTACACATGCTCTAAAGATTCGAAGCCGTTCTGTGATAGAAACTGACTTCCTATGCCATATGACATAACGTAGCATGTTAAAAGTTTTTGAAGCCTTTGCTAGTCGTACAGATATTTCTGTATCGTGTTGCTGATCTTTCGTGATAGTGCAACCTAAGTATGTGAAAGAATCAGCTGTTTCAATTTTTTCATTTCTTATATTGATGTCTATATCATCATCATAGTTAATATCTTGTCCTATTAAAACCTTTCTATGTTGATCTTCTTTGAGTTGTTTTAGTGACATCCGACAGGTTTTTTTAATGTTCATAGTCGGACCATATAGTTGTGTTACTTTTTCAAAACAACTAATGAATTTTTCTAGATCAGAGATCGTTTCACACATTACAACTAGATCATCTGCATATAATAGTGCCAAAATGTGAAAGTCATCATGCCTTTCGTTTCTTCCGTGGAAGATATCATTACTACCGTAAGAGAATTTTACTCCTGAAATGGCAGCTTCATTAATAACTTTTCTTATGATGTAGTCGAATAGAATATGGAATAGTCTTGGAGAAGGAATGCCTCCTTGCATTACTCCTGTATTCATTTCGAAATTATCCGACATTTCACCATTGACTTTGACTTTTGCTATAGAGTTTTTGTATAGCATTTTAAATAAGTTGACTAGTTTCGCGGTAATGCCGTAATTGAGGCATACTTTCCATAAGAGTTCACGGTTAACCGAGTCGTAAGCCTTTGTGATATCTATGAAGCACATAAATAGTGGCTTATTAAACTCTCTTCTTTTGTGGAACTCACGTATATTTTCGAAGAAAATAGTGAGTGTAAGTTTTAAGTTCGAGGTTTTGCGGCTCCCCCCCACCCCCCCCCCCCCCCCCTACACACCACAGCAAACAAAAAAAGAATATTACATACACACCCCCCCCCCCCTCATTATAGACTGCAACAACCGTATTCATCAAATAGTCGATGGTGGAGAAAAATAACTTCAAATTAGAAAACAAAAAAAAAAAGATTATTATCGAGTATATAGCAATAATTATAAATGAATCGAGCGCGCTTAAATAAAAAAACAATACTTTCTTTTTTAATATATATTTTTAATATACAAATAAATAATAAATTCCCGCTCTTTTCATCGATTCTCAAGGAAAACAACTATAATTTACGAGAAGTCTTTCAGTATACTGACGATGCGTCAGGTAACAAAAGCCAAAGGTATACGTGAGTTCCACATTTCAGCTCCGCAGGAGCTGCTCTAACAAGCTTTTTTCCATTGTCACTTTTAGAGTGAATATTTGGTCGATAGTTGATCTATTTGATCTAAAACCAGATTGTATCTCTAAAAGTTGACAGTTTATTAGATCTTGAATACGATTCAGTATAATACGTGAAAATATTTTACTGGTTATATTCAATAAAGCGATACCTCTGTAATTGTCGCATATTCTCCTATCATCTTTATTTTTGTACAGTTTAATTAGAGTTGTCATGTTCCATTCCTTCGCCATCTACTCGTTTTCCCATACATCAGTGAAGAAGCTGAAAAGCCATTGTATTACTCGTTCACCACCCGCTTTTAAAATATCAGCTGTGGTTTCATCACTACCGGGAGCTTTGCTTGATTTCATTTGTTTTAATGCTTTCCTCACCTCTTCAATAGAGATAGGTGCATTTTATCTACGCTCTTCAGTTGTTGAAAGAGTCAGTATTTGAATTTGATCAATTAAATCTTGATCAATTGATGTTGTTACATTGAGAGTTTCGTGAAAATATTCTCGCCAACGTTTCAAGGTATCTTTTGAATTTACCAGTAATTCACCACTTTTATCTTGTACTGGCATATTTTCGTCTCTTTTACTTCCACCTCTGAGACGTCTTATAATGGAAAAAGCCGTTACAAGATCGTTGTTTTTGATGGATTTTTCTATATCCTCACATACTTCGTCCCAATATTCTATTTGACGATGTTCGGTCACTATTTTGGCTATTTTACGTAGGCGTTTATAGTTTTTATGATATTTAGACTCTAATTTAGAGCCACGATTATTTTGCCATTCGATGAAAGCTTTTGATTTTTGATCAAGAACTTTTAGAATGTCATTTGTCAACCATTCTTTCCTTTTTCGATTTGTATTCTTGCCTATTGGAAAATGATGTTTGGCTGTTTCCTTTATTTGTGACAAAAATAGTACATATTTCTTATCAAGACTGATTGTGGTATCATCTGAAGTATTAAAGATGTCCTGAAGATCTTTTTGAAATGCTGCTAGTAACTTGTCATCTTTTAGCTTAATACTATCAACATTAAATTTCTTCTGACTGACATTTTTTCTTCTACTCTTTAGGTAAATCCTGATCTTGACACGCATTAGGTGATGGTCAGTTCCTATAGCACCTGCTGCCCCTCTAAACATGCGAACATTTTCGACACTTGACCTAAACTTTTTATTTACAAGTGTGTAGTCGATCATGTGCCATTTTTTTTTCGTGGATACGTCCATGATGTTTGATGCATTAGTTTATGCTTGAAAAACGTGTTCGAGATTATGATATTATTCATTTCACAAAAGTCGATGAGTCTCGTTCCATTTTCGTTTTCTATATCCACTGTAAATGGTCCGACACCGCTTCTTATTACATGTTGTTGTTGTTGTTTTTGTTGGTCCTGGCCAACCCAAGCATTTAGATCACCCATTATAATGATCATATCGTTTGCAGATACATCTTTTAGTGTATCTTGTAAATCATTATAGAATTTATCACATTCATCACCCATTTGTTTCGTCAGAGGATTAATAGGAGAGTAGACTGCAATTACAGTAATGTGAATTGGTGCACAATACAATCGAATTTTAATCATTCGTTCGCTTATTGGTACCCATTCGCTTCCTGAATCCTTCCAAACCTTTGTGGCAGTCTGATCCAGGCAGATTGCCACGCCATCAGCTTTTCGTGTTTTCGTTTCATGTGGTGCACCTGAATAGATCATCGTCTAGTTGCTTACTGATTTTATACCGGAATCGTACATACACGTTTCACTTAGTGCAGCTATTTGAATTCGATACTTTTTTAATTGCTTAATTATTATTTCTTTTTTTTGATTGTTTTACACAGGATCTAACGTTCCATCCGCCAAAGAAGACATGATTTTGTGCATTAACGCACCGATAATGCTTCTTTTCGTTACCAATAATAGTTTTGTGTCCAGCTAGACGTTCCTAGCCTCATGACTAGACGAGTGGCTACCAGCAGCCCAGGGTCGCCTCCTATAACTATCCAAAGAAGGTCATAGGTCCCTTTGAAAGTTAAGAAACTTTCCTGGCAGGCAGTGCGCTACATACCACATATTTATATCATATACAAACATAGTAAGAAAAAAAAATTCTTCATACTATAAATTTCATTACACCATAACACGGTGACCCTCATTCTCTCTTTATCTCTCTCATATACCCATCTGCACTTTTTCACACAGACACTCACCACACTAATTCTCAGAGGCAATCCAATTGGAGCTGTCGCAGCACAACATCTGGCTGATGCATTACGAAACAACACCGTGACCCTCACTCTCTCTTCATCTTTCTCATATACCCATCTGCACTTTCTCACACAGACACTCACCACACTACATCTCTACAACAATCAAATCGGGGCTGTCGGAGCACAACATCTGGCTGATGCATTACGACAGAACACCGTGACCCTCATTCTCTCTTCATCTCTCTCATATACCCATCTGCACTTTTTCCCATAGACACTCACCACACTAGATTTCAAACACAATCAAATCGGAGACAAAGGAGCAAAACATTTCGCTGATGCATTACGACAGAACACCGTGACCCTCATTCTTTCTTCATCTCTCTCATATACCCGTCTGCACTTTTCCACACAGACACTCACCACACTAGATCTCTCTTTCAATCAAATCGGAGCTGTCGGAGCACAACATCTGGCTGATGCATTAC